GCATCAACTCCACGGCTGCGACGTGTTTGGATATGTCGTGTATTGCTGTAGATCTCCATATTTGGAGATAATTTCTCTTGGCAGGACAGTTGCTTTGTGTACCAGAGACATGATGAGCTGCACATACTGCGTGCAGGGAATTGTAGTGTTGTGGTCGTTATGTCTGTTCTCTGAGCAGCATCTCCAAACTGAATAACCTTCTGGGGCCCTGGGGCCCAAGTGGAAGATATTTGGTGCACAACAGTATTTGTGTTGTGCTACCTTCCCCACCCACCTGCCTTGCTCTTCTATGGTGTCAATGCTTCGTTCATTTCCCAAAGTATATCCACATTTTACACTTTCCCCTTAGTGGTGATGAACCGGCCTTGTTTCCAGCTTGGGCATAATAATACTTGCCTTGAGTTTGATTAAAACTAACCTATGTTTTACAAACCAGATTCAACTAAAAGAGATAGTCATTATCCTTGCTTGTTCCTCTACCAGCTAATGAATGTTCATGCAAAATCAGAAACTTACTGGATGGTTTTAAGGCTGACATTTTCTAGCCTTAGAAGTATAATTGATGATGCCGGTCATATTAGGGTTTGTTAGGACATCGTGTTATGATTTCATGAGCCTGAAAAGGTATCCAATTATTTCATGTATATTTTACTGCTCTTCTGGAGAAACAGAAATTAAACTCATTTCCATTGAGTCCAAGTCCTTAGGAGCGTTGGTGGGAGAGTAGGCCAGGCACTCGGCTGCTGACCGAAAGGAGGAAGATGAAGGCTGGCTGCTCCTGTGGAGCGCTTGTCCCAGACACCCAGGGGCAGTTGTGTTCTACAGGGTTGCTATGAGCTGGGGTTCCTAGCACTGAGCATTTTCATTAAAAATACTGTGCTGTACTGATGATAGTAACGTTGATAGAACAATCGGTGCCGACAAACTGCCAAAGATGGCTAAACTGGCATTCCACTGATCAGTGACATCAGCTTCTGGAACAGGTTTCTACCGACATAAGGAGAAATTGAGTTCTTTTGGGTGACTGCGCCTGTCTATGATCATCTACTGGACTGTCGTTTAGCCTATGCATCCATATAAACATTAGAATTTGAGTAGCTGAACGTTTCCAGATGTAACTTCTGAAAAGGGAAAGACAATAACAGCTATTTGCTAGCATCTTACTGGAGTTGATTGTGATTCCTTTACCATTAGTTCTAGGCTACCCAGTGCCTGGGTGCCAAGACCCTGTTTGGCCTCTCTGGGCATTTCTGGACTATGGCAGTCGCATACAGAATGAAAAGCATGGGCCCACTTGTGTCTTTGTATGGGATGGCGTGAAGGGACTCACTAGATATGATTGACGAGGTTCTGATTTGTCATACAACCATCACGTTGACTGAACCCGACTCGCCCAATGTGATAGATCAAATAAGAATGCTCTCCACACAAAGGGACTATCATCAAGGGTACCCCCCCTCCAACCTGGGTCCCAGCCTTCCACACATCACACGGTGGCCCAGTCACCACCATTCGCATGGCCATCGAACAGGTATTGAAGGTCACTGTACGCCAAGCCCTGGGCTGGGTGTCTGGAGGAGCAAGGCACAGACGTCAGTGACCCCTCTTCTAGTGGAAAAGGCGAGCAACAACTCACTGCGGGGG